ATGCTTGTTGAGTGTAACCCAAAGCATCACATTTGTGAAATGGCCCTGAAAGTGCATGTCTCTCATGAAACAATACATAAACATCTAAGGAATATGGAAAAACTCCATAAAGAAGTTGTTTGGGTGCCTCACGAACTCTTCAATGATCATTGTTTCCAACGTGTGAACGTTGCTTCGTCTCTTCTGATGCATAATGCACGTGAACCATTTTTGGACAGATTTCTTCTTCTTCACGACAATGTATGTCTACATGTGGCACGTTTCATGTAACACAAGATTATGGAGTTGAGTTGGAAAGTTCTCCCCCACCCACCATATTCTCCAGATATGGCACCATCAGATTACCATCTTTTTCGTTCGCTGCAAAACCATCTTAATGGGATAACATATGCAAATGTGGAAGGTATTAAAGAGGACATCGACATGTTGTTTGCTTCAAAGCCAAGTGATTTCTTTAATCATGGCATTAACAACCTGATTGTAAGATGGAAAAGCATCATCGATACGATTGGAGACTATTTCATTTAATAAACGTTTTGTTTTGATATATAAGTTGGTCGGGTTTTTTCATCTAAAAAATTGACAATTTCTTGTAATAAGAATGGTGTTCCTTTCAATCAAAATATTTATAGTTCTCATTAAATAAGTTTTAGGAGTAAGGATCACTTACTCAAACATACAATTCCATTATTCTACAACACATTAATGACAAAAAATGAAATGATACACAGTCTTTCTTTCAGGCATAATGACAGAAACAACTTCATAATATAATATGTCAGAAGCTTGAATACATTAAAACATGAAAGTGTTAAAACTGGAATAAGTAAATATTTCATCTGAACTTATAAAACTTTATTTCATGTTTTTCAAAATAAACATAAGTGTTTTTGTAGTTAAGTGCAAAGGGCTATCTGTGCTCTGCCCAGCACAAGTATCGAAACCTTGGTTTCTAGTTTAGTAAGTTCGCAGACATACCACTGGGGGCACACAAGTGTGAAAATTTTCTTTGCAATAATACTTTTCCACAAACTCTGGAATGTCAATTAATGACCTTAATTTCATAAAACTTGGAATAATTTATAAGCAGATATAAAAACAACAACAACAACAATAAAAAAAGCAAGAATTTTATGTGAAGGAAAGAAGAATAATTAAAGAAGCCAAGCCATTACCATAAGAGCTGACAAAAGTGTCAGCATAAATAAAAACAATTGACAAATGTCATTGAAGACAGTATGGTATCGTTTTATTAAAGACAACAAAATGTTACACGAGTTTCTATTAAGATTGAATTATAAATAATTTATACAAATAAGACTAAATAATCTATAACATTTTTAACAGTTTAATGATTTAACTCTTACATTTTAATTCCAACAATATTTATTATTATATCAAATGAAACATTTCAGTTGGAAATGTTTCTTACACACTACTGTTCATAAATTAGAGACCATCTTGTTCAAAAAGTGTCCAGGATGATATACAGTAATAATACCAATCTAAAGCCCCTTGTTTTTAAATAACTTCCAAATCAGGTGTTTATGTGAAATAAATCCTGCAGAATGAGATATAAGAACGTCAGAACTGAAAATAGTTATGTTTCTGAAAATTGGGGCATTTAGCTTTTAGATGTTGTAATCCTATGGCTATTACACTGATGTCCAGCATCAAATAGCATTCCACATATATTAATTTTCTACTATAAAAAGTATTAATACAAATTTTTTGTTACAGTTTGGGTTAATATTTGCTTTAGTAAATAGCAGCAAAAAGTTCTTTTAGTCTGTGACTCTAAAATGACTGTTTTATTTTGAAGTACAAAATACAGTTTTAAGATACACAGTTTCCAATGAAGTAAAACACAGCATAATAGCTTTATGTAAAGAGGGCTACAGTTAATGAGAAATTTCTGCAAAAGGGAATTATCAAAAACTAAAGTTTGAAATTTTCAGTGAAACTGTACAACTGACAACAAGAGTAGTGCCAGAAGAACACATAAACTTTCTAAATTTTAGACTTACTTCAAAGACAAACATAAATCTAGCAGGTGCTTTGCTGCAGAAATGCAAGAAACCATTGATATTAAAGTTGAACCTTCCACAGTGTGACACAGATTGCATTAAAATGAGTTAAAAAGGGTATATTGCAGTAAGAAAACCTTTGTTTTAGAAAGATAGCAAACAGAAGAGACTAAATTTGCAAAAACCTACCAAAATTGGCCAGCTCTATGTGAATAAGTGCACTTTGGCTAAGTTGCAGCAAGAAAACCTTTGTTTCAGTAAGATAACAAACAGAAAAGACTAAGTTTGTAAAAACCTATCAAAATTGGGCAACTCTATGTGAATAAGAGCACTTGGGCTTAATGAGTCAAAGTTTGTGATGTTTGGAGATGATAAATTCCAGTACATTCATTGTGGGATTAACAAGAGATTAAGGAAAATTGTCTGCAGGCTTCAGTGCAGTAATTGTCAACAATTACTGTCGACTTGTTCCTTCTACAAGAACAACCAGCCTCTGTTACGCCTTTGACTTGCCTTCACTTCCACCCACTTGCATCATCACCATCTGTGTGTATGTTATTATTATTAATAATAATTTTTTTTTCCTCACCCATATGGTTCATTAAAACGATTACCTCTCAGCAAACTTCTAACCTCTAACCTTGAGCAGGGTGAAGGAGGATTGCTAATCTTCGAACACCCTTGGTGATTAATAGTTTTCTTTAAACTATTAACTTTACACCAAAATAATTGCCATTGACATAGAGAAGGATTGACAAGAGATTAAGGAAAAGTGTCTGCAGGCTTCAGTTAAGCAAGGTGGAGGTAATATCCAAGTATAGGGTTATTTCAATCTCAATTGGAGTCGGTGGTCTGTACCATATTGATGGAGTCCTGGCTACTGCTTGATATAAGCAAATACTCATTCACCATGCTGTTCCTTCTGGACATTGTTTAGTGGAGAAAAAAAAATTATTTTCCAGCATAACAGCGAATTAAAAGACAAACCTTTTCGTACAAAACAAACAAACTTGTGTAGTGAGTAACACATGCAAATGAATCATCAGAATTGTCACATATGTTCTCCCTCTTTCTTCTACAACTTTCTATCCCAAAATTTCAATGTTATTTTATTGCCTTTGGCTGCCATCTTCTCTGTCTGCTTCATGAACGATCACACGAAATAAAAGTTTTTATTACTATGCTGCTAACACACTTACACTTTCCTTGAGAGTATTTGAAATTGTAATGTGACATTTGACTGAATGTGATCTTTCAGTGTGCAACAAATAACACAAGTAATTATATTTGTGCACGTGCCAATATATGTATCAAACAAAAGAAGCTGTAAACATGCAGGAATTGCAGTAGAACAGTATCTTAATAGTAAGGAAGCCTCCTATAAGCTCAGAAATCAATACTGTTGAGTGTGTGTGTGTGTTGGAGTATCCTGATCAAGAAAAACAGCAGAGGCAGCCAAAGAGGAAAATTTGGTAATAATTCATGATGCTTGATATTAATTTCTCACGGAGAAAGTTTGAAGAAAGCATTCTTCATCAGCTTCAACCATAGATTTCAAGACTTGGACTTCTGATGACTTGGTGAACTGCATGTCTTCACCACTTCAATATACTAAATAACTTAGCAAATATTAAACTATTCAAGTTTGCTCCTTGATTAAGGGGCTGTCTTGGTGTTATCAACTGAAATATATATTGTTCATTTAACATGTACAACCTGTACACTGATAAATCTTAAGCCACTAGATGTGTTTCCTTCCATTTGGGAAGGTAATAATGCAAGTATATCTCTCTTAGTGGGGAAATAATCGTTTACTCTGTTTGATTTAAGAAAAATCATCACAAAAAATTAAAGAAATAATCCATAAATTTGCTTTATATGCATTATGACATTCTGAAGTATTTGCAGTAAAAGAAACTCGGCATGTTTTGAGCTGAAGTACATGGTGAGGATTGAATGGTCTCCAATTTAATATGCACAGTTCTATATTTCTCCAGTAACTAATTTTCTAAACATTAAGGTACATGTCACTGTCATTGCTAGGTGATAGTTTAAACAAATTTTAATGTACACTTTTATATTCTATTTGTAACACAAACATCTTGCCCATCAAGAGCTCCCTCCAGCAAAAGAGCCAAAAGCTTGTAGAAATTATGTTCATGAAGAAATGTCCTAGTCTCTTAATGTAGAATTAATCACACAAAATGAGGATAAAAACTGCAGTTTTCTTTTTAAGTTTCTTTTTTTTAATATTAAAATAGTCTTCTAAACTTTACACTTATAGGTATCAACTTTTCAAGTTACTTACTTTTCAGCTAAACCAGTTGCTACTACAACAGAGAAACTGTTGAAAAACTGGGGATTTTCTTCTAAAAGGTGTTCTGGAGTCTATGAAGAGAAGCAGAAAATGTCAGATTGTAAAAACTAGACTACCTACATCTATATTTCAACTTTAACCTTATACATATTATACCATGTTATTTTCTGTGCTAAGAATGAGAACAGCACAACCACTGTATGAAGCTAACAAATTTACATGATAACTTCTGTTGGATGATATAATCACACTCTATTTGACATTCAAGATGTCACTGTCATCAATCAAAGTTTGGTTAAAGGTTATATAATCACACATTATTTGACATTCAAGATGTCACTGTCATCAATCAAAGTTTGGTTAAAGGATATATATAATCACACTATTTGACATTCAAGATGTCACTGTCATCAATCAAAGATTGGTTAAAGGATATATAATCACACTCTATTTGACATTCAAGATGTCACTGTCATCAATCAAAGATTGGTTAAAGGATATATAATCACACAGTATTTGACATTCAAGATGTCACTGTCATCAATCAAAGTTTGGTTAAAGGATAACCATAAAAACAAAGAAGACATTCTTGATACATGAATGAACAAATTATGAAAAAGGCAAAGAAAAATGCTGCTTCATTTGCAAGGTAATAATATTGGACTGACATTTGATTATGAGAGTGTTAAGAAAACATTCTTACATTAATACATATGACTTGAATTTTGTGGCTGATAATTTTACAAGACAGATGAATAACTTTTAACGTAATGGCTAAATTTGACTGAACAACTTGAAATCTCTATTTCCAAGTTTGTTTATTATTATAGAAACACCATAAATATAAACTTTAAGTTAAGTGTTATTACAAGCATCAATGAACAGAGCTTATAGCTACTTGACATTTATCCTGTTGTAAAGGTACTATTTGCTGATTCTTAATTTTTATGCTTTAATATGAATGGCTTTTACTTTAACTTGGACACTTCAAGTTCAAACACAATTGTAAATATAGTTCCATCAAAAATTCTTATATTTTTGTTTTATTTTAAATGTTGGTAATGGGTATTTTTATTTTTTATAAATCTGTTTTATAAGTTATGAAATTTGCTGACAACAGAAGTTTGTGTAAGTTATATTAAACTGATTTTGGAGTCTTACCAGTTGCAGTCCATTTTTCCACGTCCAGTCATACTCTATCTGATGACCATGCATTTTGAGAATAGCCTAGTAGTGTAGTTTCTATTCAAAAGACTCCATTGTAAGGCTTTCGTGTCCAAAGCACACCACTTCTCTCTGATTGTTTTCACTTACTGTACAAGGATGATGGTTTCCAAGCACCTGTTTCAACAGTCCAATTGCACAGAAAGGCATAGGTGCTGTGTCTGGCAACTTGACTCATATATTTTCATATGGAATAGCACGAATACCTGTTTCATACTCCTACTTTTTGAGGTATGTGACAATTGAATTGGTGGTATGACTGGAAGCATTATCTTGGTGAACCCATATACCTTGTTAACCTTGTTTCCAGAAAGAGATCCTTCTTGATTATGTTGTATACTGTTGTGTTCAACATATGGATAGCTCATGCCACTGACCTCTGTATTTGAGGATTCTCACCTATTACAAGACACTGTACCTTGCTTACCATGGCTGTTGGCCAAACTGATCCATATTCCTTTGGTTTAATAGGCAATTAAGTATAAAGAATAGCTCTATCATGGAAATTCTACATTGTTGATCTGAACAAATCTTTATTATCTGAACGTATAAATATTTCGTATTAAAAAAGGCTTTTACATACCTTTCCTGAAGGCAATCAACTACCTATAAAATGCCAGATATGTCAGACAGTGGTATTGGTACATGCCAATCCACAGCAACTTTATACTGGTTGTGGTATTAACATCACTTGTTGATTCATGCATTCAAAATTGTTTTAATGTGAAACACTAATCCTTGTAGAACTTGTTGATATACAAGAAAATATATGAGAGAAAGTAGTAACTTTAATACATGCAAAGCAAATACTAAAATATAAATTTGCATCTTTATGTAATGCATACTATGCAATATCGTATAACACTATTTTCATACAGACCTTAATATAACTTTTCCTAGTTTGATTGTCAGGCAAATGAAAAACTCCACTAGATGCTAAAAGTACTTTCTAATTGCCCTTATGTGTACTAGGCTATTTCTTTGAAATGAATAAAACCCATACTGTAAGACCTTACTGAAAGGAGAACTTTTATAAAGACCACACTAGTACATGTCAAATAATCGTAAATGGAAAATTACTAATGTATTCAGATTCAATTCACATATACAGATTACTGTGAACTATAAAATAATGGAATGAATTTACACTGTTTATATAACACTTTAGTTTGAGAACAACTCAGACTTTGAAGATCACAGTGTGCTGTTATAATGTTAATGAAAATTCAGAAAATACAAGAAATCCAGGCCTTGAATTTGGTGGTTATATTCAACATGCAAAAACTCACAGTCATAATATATTTAATCTACAATATGCAACAACCAAACAGCAAAAAATACTGACTTTCAGGCTACTACCACAGTAAAGATTTTAGTAGCCAGAGACATAACTAACCAATAGGATTGGTGTATAATTTTATCATCTCTCAAGCCTCCACAAACAGAGTTTAATATTCTTTCGAATAAGTGTTCAAACATTATGGGAATAATTTTAAGATTTTGAAAATTCATGAAGAATTTTGAGTCACAGAAAAGGAGAAAGAGAAAATAGGGCAAAAATTGGGAAGTAAAAGTACAAAGAAAAAAAAAAAAAGAAAAATGGAAAAGAAAAAGATATACATCAACTATTGGGATTTGTTCTTAAAGCTACACAGTTATTGTTGTCAACTAGTCAGAAAATGTAAAACAATTAGAGTACACTTTTAGAACAGAAAATATTTGCTTTGTTTTTGCTAGAATATTCATCTTTGGTGTGGAAGCAGCTGTTTAATAAAATAAGCATTTGAGATCATAGTATTTTAACAGCCTTTGGTATAAAAAATAATTTAATAATTTTTTCTTTGTTAAAGTTTCATAGAATCTTATTAGACTAAAATAAGATAATATCAAGTGTAAAAAAAAACTATTAAATGTTTAGCATTGTGATGTTAGGGGAAGTTTGTTGATTGTCTATGCAGGAAGTACTCTTATTTTACCACCTGTCAAAACATAACCAAAAAACTTCCTAGCCCCAGGCACTTGGCCAATTATTCAAACAAAGAATTATGAAGCATTCTACCAGAGACCTATAAGATCAGTAATACCCATGAAATATTTATCTTACTTTGTCTTAACACTGATTATGTCATGATAAGGGTTTTGTTACTTTACGTTACTTGAGCCAACATATTTCATATCATATATCAATATCAAGATGTAATGAAATTTGCTTACCTCATCCACAAAGTCTCCTCTCACATCTGAGTTCAACTCCAATAACAACTGTGTGGCAATTTGAGCTCTTGGCTGAAAAATATTACAATTGAAAATTTTTGTTTTCTACATTTATCAACAGAATACCTAAACTTACTAACTTCTGATAAAAATGGTGTCCAATTCACTGTTTCATAATTGAAGCATAAGGAATAAATGTATTCATTATATATAAGGAGATGTTCATAAAAATTAGAAAATCACCTTAAATAAATGTCTAACATATAGTAAACTCCTCTTTAAACTGTACAAATTAAAATTACCATCAAATTGAAAGTTGAGATTACAATTTCTTAACACTTTGATCACCAACATAAAGATATTACATTCCCATAGTTTTGCATAAGTTCAATTTCTTTTTTTAATTTGGAATATGTTTTTCCACGACTTTATAATTATCAATTCAATTGAGAGATGCAGATATAAATTATATTGGTCACATACGCCTCTATGGTATTAGGGGGTATGGAACTCATCTCAACACATCAGGACAATAATACTTGTCTGAGGGCAACAAGTTTTACCATTACAGTTTGCTCATTGGACGAGTATTTTTCTTCTTCTCATCATTCATTCTTTTGCTAGAAAAACACTCAAGATAGCATTATAAGGAGTCATATAACTTCCTAAAAAAAAATCTGAACTGCCAAAGGCTAGCACATACATACAAACATTTAAATATATATATTCCTCCAACCTTCAAACCAAAACTACATACACATATATCCCTTTAAAGCATAAACCCTCATCCACACACACACAAAGTAACAAATGTATTTAAGTTAATGCTAAAATATTATTACATTGTTTCTGTTTATAGTAGATGCCCAGTAAAGTATGACTGCCAGCTTCAAAAAGAATTCATAAAATAATAAAAAATTATAAAAAGCTTTAAACTGTTATTAATTTTTATATAACATTTTAAAGAGGAGTATACTGTAGGGTAGACAAGTACATTTATTGTACTTATACAATAACATTGTACTCATTGTGTATACGTATGTGTGTGTGTGTGTATATATATATATATGTCAATGCTTTTTGTAATTTTTAACACTATATATACATAAGCTGTGCTGTCAATAGCATTGTATGCTTTGTGTCCACTGCTGAATAAAAGCAAAAATCTTAAAAGTTATATTCTACTCTTTTTGTGTGTATTTTTGGGATGAAGAGAAATCAAGTGGATTTTGTGAGCATTTTATCTCTTGGAGAATATTTTTTTTCTTTTCTTAAATTCCACCCCACTGAATATTTTGATGGAACCAGGGTTAGAGAGTAACCACTGTTAAACAACTAAAAAAAAAAAAAAAAAAAGAAAAGAAGCTAATTACATATTTATTCTAAAGTAACAATCCCATTTCCAATACTCAAGCATCCAACTTTACATGACTTTGCTTTTCTATTTTGATATTTTATGACATTTCAATTACTTAATTGTGATTAGGCCTATTATGAAACAAATGGTTGGCTTGTTTCTATGTGTAAAATTTTTAATTTTTTTGTCCAAAATCAACCTGAAAATAAACTTTGTTAACAATGTCTATTATTTCATACATACCTTTCCAATACTTTCACTGTCGAAAAAGAAGCTGTAATGAAAAGTAACATTTTATTAAAGTAATTTCATTTCTCAATAAGAACTTTTAATTTAATAATATATGATTAGCTAGCTTATCAGAGCCACATCATTATATGTTAATTACTAGTTCAATTACTTTCACAACATATTAAACCCCTATTTCACTAACAGTGTAACAATTGTGGGCAGAAAATTCTTAACTACCAACATATCAAGAAAAAACAACTTCACAGTCACATAAATAAACTTACAATTTTCCTGGTACATAACTTTCATAAACCTTGATATTGGTAATACTCGTCTTTTGTACCCCCATTCTGTCAGCTAAAAGTATCACAATCACGCAGAGATACAGTAAATGTTATTATGGTGTTACAAACATGTGCTCTATATCCATTGGAAACTTTGTAAAATAATTATCATGACCAGTAGGGAGGAGAAAATAATTGGATAGAGGTCTCTCTTTTTCCCAATTTTTGAGTCCTGACCAAATTATTTAGTGCACATTGACCACAACTATACTGCAACTCTGTTAAAGTGTACCTTTTTTAGGTCATAAAATTCAAGAGGTTACGAGAAGCAATTTGCTGATTAACATGATAAAGAAGTAATAGAATTAACCAATAAGAATATGATAGATGGAGAAAAGAAACTTAGCACAGAAGTATGAAAGAATACGACACAGTGTAGACTTCAATAAACTAGTGATAACACTCACATACAATATGGAAATCTCAGGTACATTGATTTCCCAAAAGAATAAATTAGGTAGGTCCACTATACAATAGGAGGCTTGGCAAAATAAATTGTAAAGTAATATTGAGTCCTGCTAAAAGTAACTGAGTGTGCTAAGAAATAAATAGATTGGACAGAAAGTGTGATACATAATGAAAACAATCTTTCTTAATATCACAAACACAGTATGTGTATTTGCACAAACCACTAAACAATTGTCTTTATTGGATCTGTGAATTGAACAGGTTGGCTCTACTCCCTAAAGACTTATTTCTAAACTTACTGAATGATGATGTTCCAGACTGCCTAAATCTCACATGACTTAGTTGGATCTGCAATGTCAGACTTACCAAGAGCAACTAGCTCTATACATGTGTCTAGTACTTCCATTTAAAACGAAAGGGAGGTTGTAACCTTGAGATATCATTTGACCTACCGCTCGAGGACACTACAGTTGTTCTTTGTGCACAAGGTGCAGATTTACAGCTGTACCCTGTACGTGCAAACCGGATGTTACCTCCAAGTGAATGATAAAGAACAAAGGTAGTTAGAATACAATCAACTTAATAACTTTCTTGGCCGTGTGTTATGTGAAAACTGCATATGCCTAGAATTAACAAATAGTTTTGAAAAATTTTACATCAAGATAAGAAGAGGCAAGGTACATAGTATGTCTGCATACCAAAATAACACATGAAATGAATATAAATACAACTCTCATATTAACAAATCTGGATAATGGGATGAATTTGTTTCAAAAACTTAAAACAATTTAGGCATTGTTCCTTTATGATAACCATAAACAATTCATTTTAAGGCAAAAATCAAGACAAATAGTATTATTCTTAAAAGATAGTTCACTCTAAACTATAATTTATCTACTTTATATGTTGTCATACCATTATATTGATATTATTTTTAAGTAGTGTTTTCTCCAGGTACCCGGTTCTTAAAAAAAAGTCATGCAAAGTTTAAATCAAAGTAAAGTAAACAGAGCTATAGACAAACTATTATTTTAAAGAGGAAACAGTAAGGAAAAATCAGAAACAAGCAAAAAAAGTCACAATACAGAGAGTGAATGCAAAAGTGGAAGCAATCATAGTGATAAAGACTGAGATTAAATTATAGTGGCGGGCCAGCAATGTTGATTAGTAAGTCAATGATCTTCCAGTTTAACAGTGTACAAAAATCCTCGATTACCTTATAAATCAAGTTATTCAACCTTTCATTATACTCTCAAAATTTATTTATACCATACTAACTTTTCCCTCTTCCATTGACAATAACGAATATAGGAGACTAAGAATCAATTACAAGTAAGCAGCAAATTTTGAATACTCCATTTAAAATTTTTCATTGTTAAATGATCATCAGCTGATCCACAACATGCATTCGGATCATGGTTACCATCATTTTGTGGCGTGGCATGATCGACACTCTAAACAGAAATGAGGCCTATCACTCACAGTAAACTTTCAAACCTGACGACTGTGTGATTTGTAATAATAAATACTGTAACTTATTGTATCAATATAAGTATGACCTTTCAAAAGTTTTTACATCTTTGTATAACTAGTTTAACTTATTTCAACTGTAGCTAGCTGCTGCTTGTCATAGTTTGAGGTATTAGGATGCGGTGATCGTTGCTGTAGAGTCCTCGTTTCACTCTATTACAATTTAAGTAAGAAAATCACACATTAATCCTAATGGAGAATTATCAAAGTTTTGTAACTGAAATATATGAGGTAAGCTCTGCCCATCGATTGTGCTAGCTTTTCTGATAGATCAGGCATACTCAGCAGTCTTGTAATCCCTCAGTGTGTGTTATAATGTCAGGCGGTTGTAGGTGCCATAACGTCCATACATGTACGTACAACCTACGTGCCATCATCATCATGTACAAATATTACCCGTGCAGCGTAGGTATCGTGGTACTGACAGTCAGCCAGGGTGGAACGATAAAGATTACTTTGTTTCATTACCAGTTACCATTATCAATAAGTTACTAGTATCCAATCAAAGAAACAGCTGGAAGCTTTAAACTTTGATATTGATTTCATGACCACTAAATTGGTGCTCATTACTAAGTGTTGAAAAGTTAAAAAATGGAGAGACATTTGTTTGAAGTTATTTCAGTACCTCATGTAGAATATTGAGAATACATACAGTAGCCTGAACTTTGCAGGCCTGTGCTATAGTATACGCAATGGCCGCAAAAAGTTTTGGGGTTAACATTGTTTTCATCTTTCATTTATAATTATATCATTTACTGTTTTCTTTTACTTTTCCATTCAAACATTTATAACTTTTTATTAGCAGTTTTAGATTAGCTTTTGCTGTAAAAATAAAGACCACATTGCACACAGAGCAAACTTAAACTGTGTGGCATCACGGTTCATACTGTCTTGTTTTTTGCATGTTAGAAACTTGTGTACTACCAGTCATAAATAAAAAAGATTAAACATTTACAGAGAAATGTGTTCATTTGATATTATGTTAAAAGAACTGGTTCACTTGTTAGGAGATAAAATCTGGGTATGTTAAAATGTTTCCATTTTGGTTAGTGTAATGTTTGTATATATATGTATGCATGTATAAAGGTTTAACATTTTTATGTATAATCCTTTACTACTGAGTGGAAATAACTTACTGGTATCCGACTAGTTTTCATATGATTAGGATTAGGTATTTTCCGGGTAAAATGTTTGTTCTGGTGGCTAAAATGCATGGAGGGCACAGTTTTCTGTGTTAATGAAAAGAATGCTTTAGAATTAGACAACTATATAAGAACATTGCTGATAATTAATTTTTTACATTAGCTATGGCTTTAATGAGATCATACGTTGATCAAATTCCTGATTTTTAAGATCCTTCCTTTAGTATCATGAACTGATTAGTTTTGCTGCAATTATAACTTGCTTGTTTCATTCTTGGCTCTCATCTTTTATCTGATTTTCTTTGGTTTTATTGAATGTAATATGTATGTAGACAACTGTACGTTCAACTTATCAAATAAAGACAAAAATAGTGACTTACTTATTACCAATATCTTCTCCTGTCACTTTGTTTCCATCCACAATCGTAAATGCTCCAATTCCTAGGTAAAATAAAAAAAAAAAGAGTGAAATATTAGAAAAAAATGAGTCAAATGTGGGATTTTTCACAACATCTAAATCACCAAAGCATATTTACATATTTATCAGATTATGATTTATAATGAACTTAAATTAATCAAGTTTTCTTTTTCAGTATTAAGAGATAAGGTCTAACTGGGTGAAAAGTTTTACATTGGGAATGGTTTTTAAGCAATTAAAACTGTGACATTTCAGTCTACAGGAGTGAACCATCTTCAGGCACTGTATGATTAAAAATGGCCTGCTCCTGAGGGCTGAAAAGTCACATTTTTAATTGCTTAAAAACATTTCCACTGTAAAGAAGTTAAAATATTAAACTTTATTTATTATAACATGCATAATGAAACAAAATCAATGAAATTTAAAAGCTACCTGTGATTGTCAAAAGTCAAGTTGCTATGGAGTAACATTATATAAAAATATTTGTGGGTTTAAACATTTAGTTTTCCCAAGATTTTGTGTGTAGAAAAAGACTCAAAGAACCAAATGGTTTAATGTTGTATTTAAGTTATATTGTTTCTAACCGCCAAAAAAATGAAAATGCCCAGGGATAGAAATAATGCAATAAAATTACATTCACTCATGATTTTTTATTTATTTAATCCATGAATTATGTTCACTTTCATTGGTCATAACGAAAGGAATATGGATGGACTATGCATTTCATGGTTCGATGTTATTTTTAACTGCCAAAAAAATGCCAATGCCCAAGGATAGAAATAATGAAATAAAAATTACATTCACTCGAGGGAAAGCTATCAAGAAGATTACATTCCCTTATGCAAAGCTGCAATACCTCATGAATTGTGTTTTTTTATTTAATCAATGCATTATGTTCAATTTATTCGGTCATAACTAAAGGAATACGAACAGACCATGCACTATCAAATGGGAAAGCCAACTAAAAGGTTGAAATTCTTTGGGAATGTAATATTTTGATCCCTGACTGATAGATAGAAATATTTATTGAACATGTCTTTAATGAAGAAAATGCACATGTATCCACAAAATGTAACTGAATATTATAAAACTGCATACTTTTATTTTTCAAATTAACAGTAAACTCCATATATTGTATCAACAGTGTAACATATGTTTAGGGACAACGAGGGACCTACTGGTCCATCTAGACTGTCCCATCCTCTAAACTAAACTAAAATCAACATTATAGAAATATGAATGTATGTTTTCCATTGTCTTACAGTTATTCAAGAAATTAAAAACTGATCGCATTTACAGTGATCAAGTTGTACTCTCTTTAAATATGAAAATACAAAACAGTTTTAATTCCTATAAGATATAACAAGAAAATGTATTACTTACCAGGTAAAACTATGCTTTTCAGTACTTCAGTACCAGTAGCAGTTGCATTAATAAGACATACATGGGCACCTTCTAGAGCACCCTGCCCATGATCACCCCATAACCTATTTTGCAAAAGAAATTTACTTTTGAAACATTTGTTTCACACAGATATTTGTATAATTCTGCAAATGTTAATTCTTATACAAAGGATTTAGCAAACTTTTTTGGGGCTAAAAAAATATAAAATATTTTATCTGGTTCATATTTTTTTGCTACGTTTATAGCAAGGAATGTCTACATTAATCTTGCCAATCCTAGCATTAGTATTTGCCAGGTTTTATATCAACATATTAGCACATGCATACTAATAAATAAGCTTGTGTTTATTCACCTGCAATACCAATGAGTCTCTTATCAACTGAGAACCTTAATAAATAAAGTATGATAGAACTCATGCTATTATCACAGCAAGCCTTTTCTCATTCTACTGAATTGTTTTTCTTCTCAGTTTACTGAATTAACTAGTTATTAATGATATCCATTCCTGGCTTAAATATTGTACATTAACTGCAATTCATTTAAATAGTTCTTTATTATCTACAATGTTTTTCTTTTCTTTTACAAACAGCTGTTATAGTGCTACTTAATGTTGTAAGAGATTATGGAATTAGGTAGAACAAACCTTCTCTGCCTCACATACAGAAAATAATATATATATATATATATATATTA